TTAGGTTTGTAGTCAACCTAAACTATTCCAGTGGTATTGATTTGTGATGTAGTATTTCATGAAGTATTATATTCTTACAGTTCTGTACAGCAGTGGTTGTATTAGTAAACCCTCTCTGGCCCGGATCTCAGGAGCACGACCTGGAGGAACCTGAGAGATGCTCCTTTGGCTCCCGCTCAGCCCCATGCCCAGTGCAGACTGCAGGCTCTTGGGAAAGGCCCGTCCGGCTGCAGATAGGAACCCACTTGCCTTGAGATCCCTGAGGCAGGCTGATGTCTTCAAAAGTAATTCGACCAAAAGCTGCAAGGAGACCACAGCACACAGAGAAGAGCCCTGTCTTCCCGACTCCAAGGAGCCAGCTGGGCCGTCTTCACAGGGGTCACATGCCCCGCCCAGGCCTTGCCCCTGCTCTGTGCCCACCAGGCTCCTGCTCGTTCGTTGGCCATCTGGCCTGCGTGTTACCAAGTGACTCTGACTCTCACTTTATTCCCTGACTCCTGGAGACTCTGTCTTATGACCACACCCAAATCACAGATAAGTCCCTGTAAAATCCTTCTGTTTTTTCCTTAAATTTATTTATTTTATTTTTTATTTATTTATTTAATTTTTGGCTGCATTAGGTCTTCGTTGCTGCACATGGGCTTTCTCTAGTTGTAGCGAGCGGGGGCTACTCTTCGTTGCGGTGCACAGGCTTCTCATTGCCGTGGCTTCTCTTGTTGCAGAGCACAGGCTCTAGGCCTGTGGGCTTCAGTAGTTGTGGCTCATGGGCTCAGTAGTTGTGGCTCGCGGGCTCTAGAGCACAGGCTCAGTAGTTGTGGCGCATGGGCTTAGTTGTTTTGCGACACGTGGGATCTTCCCAGACCAGGGTTCGAACTCATGTCCCCTGCATTGGCAGGCGGATTCTAAACCACTGCGCCACCAGAGAAATCCTGTAAAATCCTTCTTTTTCTTCTTCCAACCTTCCTAGCACCCTGAACTCTTCCTGGGCGGCCGCTACTTAGTGCCTGTTGGCAGGACGCTCCCCAGTACTTTGCCAGCCTTTCCTCCTGGCTGGCCACCCCTCCGGGTGCCTCCCTACAGCTGATGGGAGACCCCTGGGGCTCACACAAGCCAGGTGCTGTGTGCAGGCGATGGCACGTCCTGGACCAGCGCCCCTGGGGCAGGGGAGGCCCAGGGACTGCGGTGCTCTCCCCGCAGGTCACCTTGCGCAGGCCGTGTCCTCACCCTCCTAGCAGGGTTCGGAAGAGCCGAGAGCTAGCGAGGGGCTGCTTTACAAGGTGTGTGTCGCTGTCAGTTAGAGATTTTCTTTCTGACGAGTACAGGTCTTACAATCTGTAAGATGTGAAGGTTATGGACAAATGAACTGTGATTCTTTTATTTGAATTTCTCTGACTCGCCTGCAGGCTTTCTTCGCTGACTGACTCCTGGAGATCGCCTTCCAAGTGTGTGTTTATTAATAGGCAGGTCGCAGGGTTGGACACAAGCAGCTTCACCACATGGAGTTGGTCCATCTTGTCTGCTGCTTTCCTGGTAGAATTAAGTCAGGTGCAGACTTCCCGGTAGAACTTGAAGCCTATCTGAGTGGTCTGAGGTCTGATTGTTAATGAGGACGAACGAGGCCCGGCTGGTGATGTACAAAGGTATAATTCCTCTGTCCTTGTTCTACCTGGTGATAGTCTGGGGCTGAGTGACTCCTTGCTGACTAAAGGGCTTCACCAGCCTGCCTCGGAGGCGTGCAGAAGGGCTGCCGCTCACCCACCCACGTTTTCGTGTCCTACCTGCCGTAAAAGTGGCCGCCACCCACGCCCAGCGTCCTGCCTTGAGGGACAGTGGCACCCGCACCCCTGCGCCAGGTGTTTGGTTCCTTTACTGTGATTGGATATTTTCTTTACTGGCTCTCCAAATTCTAGCCTCTTGAACAAATGAAATTTTCTTACCTCTAAATCTAGGCCCTGTTTTCACCGTTGCTAAGGGGCCTCTCATTGTTGGTGGTTCTTACTTTTCGCCGAAACCCTGGGAGCCCTTCCTGGTTCATGGGCTGCTTCTGTGCTGGCTTCTTCCTGGGGGTATCTCAGCGTTAGCTTGAGCCGTGGCACATTTCCCCATGCCAGCCCCTGTCGTTTCAGTGCAGTATTGTTCCACGTCCCTGGGTGTCTGCCTGCCTACGAGCACCCCCTGGATGTCTTGGATTTCCTGGTTTTCGTCGCCAGATTTCACTCTTTTTGCCACACTTATAGTTTGCATTTCATGCCTGTGCATTCTTTTAATCAAATGAAATAAAAATCTTGTGAATAAAAATATTCTGTGTAAAAAAAATTAGACACAGCTGAACATTTTTGACACACCTGGTATATAGAGAGAGCTGCTCTGGGAACAGCTAGCAAGCAGCCCTCCCCGCAGTGGTACGTTCTTAGCGCGTGTCCTTACAGGGAGCTCTTTAGAATTCCAGGCTTGGAAGGTCTCTATTCTAGTCCTGTGCTTTCAGGCAGGATTGCAACAAAACTGTCCAAGGTAGGATGGACCACCATTTGTTTTAAGTTGCAATCTTACTATACAATTGTAACTTATGAAATTTCTAAGGTAAGTAAAAGGTCCAGAGTCTAGTGACAAATGCCCTTGTGTTTGCCATAGATTTAACATGTTCAGTCTTTGTTCAGATCCTTTTTCTTTTTAAGAAGGTAGATGTCATAAAGTCATGGACCTTCCCTCTCTCTGCTCCTGCCTTCCCCAGAGGTGATTTTTCTCCCGAAATTGGGGTGGGTCCTTTCTGTTCATGTTTTTATGGCCTTGGTGCATATGGTGGGACCCGTGAACATTATAAAGTTTTGTGTATTTTTGAAACATTCATAAATATGATTGTATTAAGTGTATTTGTACCTCGGTTTGCTGTTGCCCCAATTTTAACTGTACTGTTGCTGGGCGGCTTGGATGCTTTCATGATCAGTGCCGCACGGACGGCATCCTGGTACGTGCTGCTGGGCGCACGTCGGGGCTTCTCCCGGTGGGCCGATGGCTGGAAGAGGTGCGGCCGGGAACACTCCGGCCGGTCTTCATTTCACTGCGTGCTGCCAGGTCCTCTCTAAGTGGCTCCACTGTTACACTTCTACTTGCAGTTCATTAAAATACTTGTTTCCCCACATCCTCACTAATGTTTGCGGTTGTCAAGCTCTTCTGTTTTGTTTCACAGTTCTCTAATATCCTAAATATTCTGAACTCGTGTTTAGAATAACTTCGTGGTTATCCACGAAGATGATGGTGTGTGGTAGAGGCATCAAAGGAAAGAGGGCTTTTATTCACGCCCTTGCTGGTTGGAAGCAGAAAAGGGGTGAGCAGTCTGGAGCCCCACATGGGACCCCGATGGACTGTCCACAGAACGTCTGCCCCCGTGGGAGATGGCGGTATTGCGAGGGTGTCCAGGGAACAGGTTTCAGACGTGGGGAGTTTGTGTATGTGGAATTTGGGTTTTGGAGAAAGAATCACGGGGAAAAGTTGGGTCAGAGAGTAACACGTAGACGTCTAAGGTGACGGGAGTGTGTGGGGAGACGCGAGGGGGACAGGCGTGTGCAGCACGACTCTGGATGCGGGCTGCCGGGGAATGCCGGTCGCGGTCTGGCTGGCTCCATGGGCTCCGCAGAAGGCTTGTCCCAGGGGTGCTGAGGCCAGAGGGCAGCGGACCCTGCACAGGGCAGAGCAGTCCCCGGGCAGAGCGCCTCAGCCGGTGTCCTGCAGGCCCTCCTCCTGGACCACCGGCCCGCGTCCTGCACAACGGGGCTGCTTAAAAATGGGTCAACGAGAAAAACGAATTTCGACAAATCAGACACATATGTGTTTACGTTACGTTTTACATGAATTCATAGGAATGTGTGTTCATTCCCCGGTCTGTTCATGTAGAGCTCTGGCCCTTTTTTTAAGTATGTTTTGAAAATCTGCATTTTCCTCATACAAAGAGGTATTTGTAGTGCATGGTTTATAATTTCCACTTTGGATTTCCTTACGGCGGAGGGAAAATGATTTTACAGATCTGTCTGGTGAGAATTTTCCTGAAGATTTAAGTTCCATGTTTTTTGTCTCACTCACACCTTATTAAAAATATTTTTTTAAAACAATTCATCACTATCCAATCTTTCAAAACCATTCCATTTCACTGAAGTGGAAAAACATCTCTTGATTTCTGTTAATAATCACATTTCATCAAATTACATAACATCAGTGTGTACACCTGGCATGGGTGGGCCACAGCGGCTCTTGGTTGGTGGAAGGAGACGGTCAGTGTTGTGTCGGAGGGCAGCTTACAGGTACTGGTGCCGTGGACATCAGTCACCCCAGCAGAACGGTGCATGCCGGGCGGGTGCGGGACGGTCCACCGTAGGCGTAATTCGGGCCGTGGCTCAGCCTGCTCGGGGGTCGTGGCTCTGACCCTGAAGTCCAGGCTCCGTGAGGCGGGCTGGCCCCGCGCCCCACTCTCAGCCTTTCTGGTCCTCTGGTCTCAGGGCCTGGCCCAGGGGCTCGCACGCTCAGAGGGCCTTCCACCTGCCCGGTCCTCCCCGCGGAGCCTGTTCCCCTCCCACAGGGCGCTCATCACACTGGGGCCGCTACTTTGCTTTTGTAAAATGACGGGCCAGATATCCAGACCCGTTTCAGATGTTGATTCCCAGGAAGGCCGGCGCCTTCCTTCCACATGGCGCTCTCCCCTTTGAGCCTGGATGGGGAGCTGCGCTGCGTCCACCTTTCCCAGGTCCGGCCGCCGTCGCAAACCGGGCTGGAGGGCCGAGTAGGGGCACCTGCTTCACCGGCATCTGCTGACACGCTCTGGGCGTGGGAAAAGACGCCTGTTGACTCAAATGTCAACATGTTCCTTTATCTTAAAGTCTGAAATCCAATATGATCCATTTATTCCACGTAAATTAAAGACAGTGCATTTAAGTAAATAAATTTATATGGAAAACCTGGACGTGAGGTGTTGGATCACACTGATGACTGCGATGGGTTTTCTTTGGCAGTTTGCGTGTGAACCTGGACATGGGCAAAGCCGCCTACGGGTGGATGATTATGAGAGATGAGAATATTCCCGGCACAGTGGTCCGGACCAGCACCATCCCGGAGGAGCTGGGGCGCCTGGTGTACCTGCTGACCGACAAGACAGGTACCGCTGTGCGCGCGTTCACCTCTGGAGGCATCTAGTGGCGGGGGGTCCTGGTGTGTCTGTGCCCACACACGTTTATGGCGTGTGCGCGTGCGCGTGGGCGCCTGCCGCCTACAGTTGTGCCTTTGTTTTATTTAGCTACCCGTATTAGCACTTCTCTGTTGGCTTCTTAAGGGCAACAAGGGCTTGTTTATTACAGAATGACAGGTGTGAGCTATGAGAGGAAGATAACAATAAGATACGTGAATTTGGTATTTTAACAGTGACATGCTCCTGAAGAGCTGCACCACACACGATTTATCCCGCCCTAAGTTTGCATGCTCCAAATTCTCTTTGTCCTTATTTCATTTTTTTCTTTCTTTCATCAGAGAATTCTTGTCAATCCGTAACATACTAAGTAAAAGACAAATTGAATCCAGAACTATAACAAGAGCCATATCTAAGGGTTAAAATCCCTTTTTGATTTGTTGATTCATGGTGTAAAATCCTAGTAATTCTTAGCGAACCAGAAATAAAAGAATATTTATATAAACGGTAAAGAAAATATGTCTTGAATAAAATTTAAAACTTTATTTTTAATAAAATATTAGATGAGTCCTCACTATAGTCAGGAAGAAGAAAGACTAATCTGTACCATGCTTTGATTTAACATTTATTACTCCAGCCACTGCTGTGAGACAGGAAATAGAAGGTCCACAACCAAAAGAAGAAACATTTTTACAGATATAATGATCAACCAAGGAAATGAACTGCTAAAAATAAGAAATCAGTAAAGTGGCAGCTTACAAATTAAAATAACAATGGCAGTAAAAATAGCTCCCTTATGTGTAGAATAGACTGAAGAAGAAAGATCCCATTCACGATAGCTCAAGTGCATGTAAAACATGTGGGCATAAACTTGGGGATGAAGAAAGTGACCAGACCTGACAGAGAAACGTAAAAGACTGGCATTAGTGGAGAGGTGTACCGTGTCCCGAATGTGAAAATTCAGTATTCTATAGCAGCCAGCCTTCATAAGGAATTTGTAAGTTTACTGCAGTTCAGTCAAAATCCAGTTGTTGGATCGTATTTGGTTTTCATTAGGACTTGTCTTGGTGGGACATTGAGGAATTGACCCGCAAGGTAATGCTCCATAAATCAAAATAACTCAGAAATAACAACTTGAGGGCCTCAGGGTCAAGAAGGTAGACAGAGGGCCTCCCTGGTGGCGCAGTGGTTGAGAGTCCGCCTGCCGATGCAGGGGACACGGGTTCGTGCCCCGGTCCGGGAAGATCCCACATGCCGCGGAGCGGCTGGGCCCGTGAGCCATGGCCGCTGAGCCTGCGTGTCCGGAGCCTGTGCTCCGCAACGGGAGAGGCCACAACAGTGAGAGGCCCGCGTACCGCAAAAAAAAAAAAAACACAAACAAACAAGGTAGACAGAGAAAATGCCTTCCCAACTCACTGCACAGATGGGAAAAACTTTAAAGGATAAATCTTTAACGATACTAGAAATCAAGCAAAAGTGCCATTAGATGATCCAGAAATTGGAATTCGTTTGATGGAGAAGCAGGAACACAGCAAACCCAAACTCAAAATGGCTCGTGAAGAGATCCTACAGAAATGTACGAAAATGTCTCCAGAACAGAGTCCTGGGGAGATACTAAATTCATAGCCAACTTGGATCTGCAGCGAGATACAGGGAGTCATGAGGCTGCCCATCATCAGGAGAGGACTGCCCCGAGCCCCTGGCTACAGCACCAGGCAGCCTGGCCTCTTGATACATACAGTCAGAAACCAGGAGCCACCAAGATGAGATCAGAGTCCAATTCAACCAGGAGAACTGTTCCCAAAGAAAACAAATTCAATGGCTTTTTCACACAGACACCAAGAAGAGCCATCAGGAAAATGTCTAGAATTGTAAGAGTTCAATTACATATATCAACTCGGTATTCAAAGTTAAACTGCATTTCTCTGTACCAGCAACAATTGGGACACTTAATTCTAGAGATGCCAATTAGAATAGCAACAAAAAAGTATAAAGTAATTAGATATAAATTTTAACAAGAAATGGGTAAGAACCATGCGGATGTATGTTTTTAAATTTTAAAAGACCTTTTACAGAGACCTAATTCAATGGGTGGACACCCTGTTCTCGTGAGTAGGACACCTTAATGCAATGAACGTGTCATTCCTCCTGCATTAAAAATCTGACGTGTCTGCAAGTACAGGACGAATGGGGAGGTCCTACTCACTGTTGGTGGGAGCGGCACGTGGCACACTGCCTTGTAAAGCGGGTCTTGGGCATTTCGGCCCAGTGTCTGTTCCCTAAAGAAGCATCTGCACCAGGAGATGTACCAGGATGTTCACAGCGATGTTCTGGCCACAAGAACAAACGGTCGGATGTGACACAGAGAAAGTCACCACCAGGACAACGGCACACTGTGGCATGTCCTTACAAAACACACAGCAGTGACACGGAGTGCAGGCGTTTACCTCCGCATGGACGGGCGCCGCGGGGAAACGCTGAGCAGGGGAAGGGTTGGGGGCAGGGATGCCGGATGCAGCCCTGGGCTCATCCTCGGGCCTGGGCCCCACCAGCTGCCTTTCCTACCACCTTCCAGAGGCCTCCTGCGGGCACCTCCTGCACCATTCCTGAGCTTGTGGTCGTGCTTATCCGGGGGAAGCAGGTCTGGTCTGGACCAGAAGTCCTCTTGTGGACATTTTAAATCTGCCTGTAATGGTCCTAGAGTGATATTGACCTATTATTTCATCTTAATTTACAAACAGAAAGCACATGCCTGAGAACACACAGTAAACTCAAGGCTCTGTGTCTCTGGCTGTTTGATATCAATAAGTAAAGGTTTTGTGACATTATTTGTCCTTAAAAGGCTAACTTTTATTTTGCATTTTAAACAATAATGGGTTTATTGTTCTGTAGCTCCTCCAGTTTTCTTTGTTGAATTGGAGTTACTTTCAGGGTAAGGATAAGTGGTTTTTGCCCAGAGTCATAAAGACAAAGTCTCATTTTTCCCACATTTCACTCTGCTGCTTTTAAAAGGCAAGAACATCGCTTCTAAAGGTTTTAACTTAATAAATAATCTTGGTTCCTGAGATTTTTTTTTAAATCACAGAAAAATTATATTAAATTTATTAGAGAAAATATTTTGCATTTCATCTTCTAAAAGACCTTTTTATGCTAGAAGTCATCTGTTCTGATGTTGAAGCCGTGCAGAGGTTTTTTTGAATTTTTTGGTCTAGAATTTTTTTCAGGCCCTTTTCAGTAATCCCAAGGTGAACGCCATCTGTGGAGCACCTCCTGTCGGTGTCAGAGGCAGGGGAGGAAGGTAGTCTGCAAACATCTCAGTGGCCCAAGCGTCAGCCAAGAAGGTTAGGAATGAGCTGTCGGCAGGAGCCTTCCGTGGCTCCCGAAACTATGAGGTGGTCCTTCGTGTGGCTGTAAATTGGGTTTGTGCTTCATCGATAAGCTTTCTGACGAGAAGCGTTCATCACAGTGTCTCTTATTTGCCACAGCAGAATAGAAAATGAAGTATCCCAGTAATTGCATTCTAGTTTCCTTCTCGTGGACAAGAAAGCGATGTGCTATAATTAGATTTGATTGGAGTGCACGTTTCGGTAAGATCTGAAATTAATGATGTTGCTATAGTGACACATCTGCGGCCACCAGTGCGTGAAACATAAAGTAATTCATTCGACAGGAGTAGACATCTGTTAACTGCCAGGATGCAGAGCGTGTTGACACTGACCAGAAATACTAGGCGTTATGTGCTCAGTGCGCAAACGATGCTGAACCCGGAGGACAGATCGTTTGCGCTGAACCTGCCGGGAGGACCTCCGCCTCCGCCCTGGCTACCCCGACAGTGCCATTGTTTGAGAGCAATGCTGCCGAGGATTCATAAATTTTAAAACTTGACTCAGGTGCAGCCTATTAAAGCAATACATTAATTCCTTTGTTAGTTTTTATCTTCGTGTAGAACAAAGCCATTCCTGAAACACCCACGGAAACAACAGGTTTTCGGACGCATTTTAATTATAGCATCCATTACCCAACACGCCATGTTGTTTAGACTGGAATCACGTGTGAGTTTCATAGGACGGCATCATCGTGTTGGGGAAGCGCTGTTTCCATGGTTTCCAAGGGCACCAGAGCACGTGTGTGCCAATCAGTGCGCACACACGCAGCGGAGCGTGTGCTGATGTCCTTCGACCGGAGGACCACTGTGGCCTCTCCTGCCTAGTGGCCACGACTGGGGCCTCACTTACGACGGGCGTGCACAGTCTCACTGATGCAGCTGTTTGCTGATACAGGTGCCGGGATGTGAGGGAGTCTGATGTTTGGGGTGTTGGGCCAGTCGAGGTAGCACACACATACAGATGCCAGCCGTTCAGGGCTCGTGGTCTTTTGAGAAAGCCTCACATACAGCAAAGAGGATATGTGACTCCGCATCAAAGAATGTCGAATAATTTTTAAACGGATGCGTATTCTGCAGTCTGGTAAATTAGTCACCACTTTTTAGAACTTTTGTTTCCATTCCTGCACCATAAGGTCTAAGCAACCGTGTTTCAATACAGCCATTGACCGTGTGTGCTTGTCGCTTTGCTTGACCAGAATCTTTGCAGAAAGACCTGCCCGGTGCAGGTGGGCCACTGTCCCGCAGCCGCTCCTCTGCGGCCTGCAGAATATTGGTCTGAGGCCAGATCACAGCCCAGGAAGGTTTGACCAGAAAGCTTTGTGTCTGCTCCGACGCCTCCTCTGCATGGCTGTGAGTCACATCTGTCGCCACCCGGAGAATGGTGCCCGCAGGACTTTTTCTTTGGAAACGAATTTTCTTTTTGCCTGCTTAGCTCATTGTAGTCCCAAAAACTGCTTTGTTAAAGAGCTACAGCTTTTTTTTTTTCCCCCAGGAATCACAAACAAAACTTTTGTCACATTTTCTGTCCACAGAGCTGCCACGATGATCAGGTCACTGTGAGGCCGCTGCCCACCTCGCTCAGTCCCCG